GATAAAGAGTTCCTCAAAGCAACCTCTCCTCCATCATCGAAGTATATACTCTTCACTGATAAAGCGGGGGGTCCGGGATTCTACCTCACGATTTTCAGACTGCCCATCTTTTCATCTGGGAAATGGTGGGCAGCCCACGGAATACCTTGTTTTCCGTCTGAAAATTCGACTCCAACACCTCACCAATCTTTCCCCAGGAATCAGTTTCCGCGTTGGCATCTGTTTTCGCTGCCGTCTTGCGCGTTTCTTCGTACCGCATTAGGGTTGAAGGATCATTACTTCCAAGATATCCCTTGAATGCAGCCTTTTTTCTCGCTAACCGCCAGTTGAACATCGGATATCTATCAGGAAGTCTGTTTCTATCAGGCTAATCCGTTTAAAAACTAGGCAGCCGGGAGCAACCCCCGAATAAGCCGCTGTTAAAGAGCTTCCACTCGGTTTCCCGTCAACCGTCATCACTGGGATTTGTTGAAAACTTTGTGCAACGTTATTTTCAAGTTTTGCTCTTTCATTCGCAAACGGTAGCCTTTTCCATTTGATTCCCTGATTGTTTCTGCCATCATCAAATTTTCGCATGGTACTCCTATGTTTGCAGCGGAGGGTGCCGATAACAGGACGATGATTGGCTGAGAGCTCTGCGCCTCTCTTAACGCGAATATACATTACTGAGCGTCTTAAATCAGACGATGCGATTATCAAATCGATCATCAACTTTTGTGCATAAGCACCAGGTATACTGATACACTCTTCGATGCTCGAAGAAGGTGTTCATAATGGACAATCCGTTGTTTGCACAAAACCGCAACAACTTCATACTGTTATTGTTGAGGTCGTTAGGGTTGTTCTTTCAAATCACGTCCTTCCAGTTTTTATTGTCTCCTCCGAAATGTGCATTAAAATGGCATACCAGAACGATGGATTCCGAAGTCAGCAGAGAACATTTTAGCTTATCAAGGAAGGACTTATATTTTCTCTACCAACTGCCACTTTTCTGCTTGAAAGCTTCCAATCAATAACTCTGTCAGACAGGTTGGGTTCTTCCAGAACACCAACACCGGCCTGAGCGCTCGTCGTGATATCGATAACTTAGTAGAATAAGGTTCAGAATTCCAGAGCCTTCGCTCTTCATTGACGAGAGTTCAACCATGTCGAGTTGGTACCTTACGACCTCGTCAACTCACTGCGTGACTTTCCCTCTGAATGACGAGATGTTCCAATTTCCGCCTGTACACTTCCACTACATTGCCTGCCTCTTCCGTTCAGAATGGGAGCGACTCTGTCGCTCACTGGCATTTGCATCGTTTTTTCATCAACGTTTGGCAATCGTCGTGGTGTTGCCACCCCCAGCTGTCGGAAGGTTCTGATCGCCGACTTTTCGCAATCCCTCTCTGTTCCCCAACCGCCGATGCAGCTCTTGGTAACCATGGCGACGAACAGGCCGGTATAGCGTTCCATACCGCAATACAATGAGATGCAAGTGGCAAAATTTTACGAGACACCGCGCTAAGGTCCGAAGCCCTCCTCATTTCTCATCCTGGCTTCAGGCTGGCAACTAAATTATCGACCTTGCATATGTAGTGCAACATCTTCATTATTGTCATCATACTGATCATACCTGTCGTCATCGTAATCTTCATGGCCTGTAACGTTACTCCCTGTACACAGATCTTTCAGGGCAGGTTATAACACTGTTTGCTTTCAACTTTATAACGTGACACATCGAACGTAGAATGTTGCGCCCATATTTATTATGGCATACATGCTTCGCTTCGATTGAGATCGTGACAATGACTCACGAAGGGAGTGGGAGCTTTCTTCGAAAATTTCTTCTCAGAATTGTGCAGTCCTTGACTCACTTGCCACTGCTTCAATGTTCGTGTAACCTCTTCTTAGTAGTACACGAAATGCACGACGTTTGAGAAGGAAGTCAGCTTTACTTATTGCTGGAAACACTACCGATCCACTGTAGGCTATCAGTGATAATATACGGGCACCTCAAAAAAAATAAACGAGATAACTCTCTAGAGAGGCAGATCAATAACCTCATCAGTCGCAGCAGAACACACGGCCCCTTGCGCAGTTATGAGAACACCGAGAGGATGGAATCCAGTCAGTTCAATTTTCCGTTCAGCAGGATATTCCAGTATCTTATGGTGTTGCTGGATGGTACAGGCTCGTCATCAATAGTAACAGGGTGGTTGGCTATAGCAAGTAGTTTCTGAGACCTGATATTCTTCATCTGACAGTTCAGCTGGGCACTTTTAATGCGATTCAATATTACACCATTGTTTTGTATCCACACCTCAACTTCATTTGCTGCGTTTTATGTTTTGGACAAACCGGATTTATTTTTGATAACTGAGATTTGGAACTATGCCATCTGAATACTTCACAAATGAGACTGCACCGGCTGGCTGTGCGTCTACTAAGGTAGAGATTGAAATGCAACGGCGACAGAACAGAACCCTGAAGAATGCCCATGTTGCTCTGAGTTGTCAGTGAGCGACGTTTCCCTACAGCAACAGTGTGATGACGGTTTGAGAAATAGTTCGCCAGTCAATGAAGTAAGTTATTGGCGACAACGGCCTCTTGCTAACTGTTCAGAAGCACAGCTAGTAATATGACGTTAAATGCTGAGGAGAGGTGTATAAAAATAACTCTAGGGACAGTGCCTCTAGAATCGAGAGCTTTTAAGTAGACAACTCTTACAGTAGCCTGCAGCATCAAGGGTGGAAGACCACAGGTAAATGCGCGACTTGCCAATTGTCCTTCACACTGTCGAGTCCCTTTCACAAACAGTGATAGAGTGAGGGTCATCCAAACCGTCGCAATCGTGGTCTAAGTGGCTTACAGGTGGGGTTTGTCAGATTGCAAAGTTAATTAATCTTTTGAAGCAACCTAGCTTCTAACGTTAGCATCTAGATCTATCACTTGTACCTTTAAGTTGATAGTAAGTAATGAAAATAAAATCAAATATGGCGTGAAATTCAAGTCGATTCAGTGCGAATAATTGAAATGGGAGGTATTCAGTATAGAAGGTCTTTCGATACAACGGTCATGAGCACAACGACGAGAAAATTTCATATTAAGCCTACATTTGCGACCACCCCCCCCGCACAGTCCATCATCAAGACACAAAAAATGTCCTGATAAAGGGTGCTGTTGTACGATTTGAAGCGTATATTTAAAACAAAACATTTCGTCTCATCACTGTGCCTTTGCCCATCACATTGGAAAACTTATTTAAAATATATTCAGTGACCAAAATTTATTTATGGTGCAAACTGTTTGTTGCTTATGTTTCAACGGAATCGGAAAATAGCGCCCATGCTTCACAGGTTCCTACTCAATACAGGTGCTGAGAGCTAGTTCTGCTTCTTTAAATATTTCTAGTTGGACTTAATTGCAACAGTTTTGGTTTAGCCCAACACGAACACGTTTGAAACCGTGCTCAGCATCACTCGGCTACCGAACGTGATTCTGGACGGCGACGAAACCGTGAAGATCCGATGCATATACGGACCTCCGGCAATCGGAACGCCGATCATTCCAGAAATACCTCCACCGGAAGCCATACTACCGTAAGGCGACACTGTGAGGCGAACGGAGCCGCATGTCTTACCCACGCGTTGTTTTCAGGTACAGCACCCTTTATCCGCCGTTCGAAGTGACCGAGAAGGCGGCCAAGTCAGATCTGTCCTCGTGGCATGTCTACCTGGTGACAGCCATCGTGCTATCTCTGATCCTGGCCATCATCATCTGCTGTTGTCTGTACTTCTGTATGAAGACGAGGAAGTCGCGCCTGGACAACAGACGCAAGTTCTTTCGCAGCGCTCCTCCCGGTGCCAAGTTGAGCGCGGACGACATCGGCCGCTTTTGGTGGACGGCCCGCAGTAGTGCGTCCAACGACCCCCTCATGTCACACAACCTGATGCTGGTCAACAACAGCACGGTTAGCAAGCCACTGTCGGTAAACAGCGACTACGCGAACGCGGCGATGTCCAGCGCTAGTCGCACGTCGTCGTTGTCAACGCCGGGTGTTACTCGCCTATCGCCTCAGTTACTGTACGTACACGACGC